TGCAATGAGGAATGCGTCGGGGAGAAAATCAAACCGCTATCGAAAATACTGGATTTTACTTTGTGAGGTTGGCCGAGACTAAAGGAATCCTAGATCGAAAAATCACAATTCTGTCTAGCCCAAAAATCACTTGCTCGAGAGTCATGGTCCACGATAAGCCTTGCACTATCGAACCACGGATCTCTTTCACTGAAAGATCTCTAGCCGGTTGGTGGCGAGGCTACGTGGCGCGACCCCAGGTGGCGGATAGGGGGTAAATCGCGGACCAAAAGCCACCATGTACTTGCCCTGAGACGCAGGTGGATTCAGGGGATGGACTCCCTGTTTCTGTAGTGCTGTGTTGATTCATACCAGCTGTCTCCACTCAGGCGTATCCATGCATGCTTGCGTGTGTGGTGCGCTGTGTGTGTGCGGTTGGTATCCTGCATGTCGGCACAGCCAAAAGCTTGCATTCAAGTGACTGGGAAGTACATGGGAGGCGATTCGGGGCCGCCTCCAAAAATAAGCCCCTTGTTCCGCTCCAGGATAGCGTGGCTAACTACCTGGAGTCTATCCTAGCCCACACGACAGAGCAAGCTACTCGTGTGCCTTCAATATGCCGAAAACAGCAATATGGATGGGCCTCATTCCCCTGAACCTGAGGGAGCCCCCAATACGGCAGCGTTGGGTAGGACCGCTCGGGAGAGGCTGCTAGAATCTCAGGGCCCGGATAGGCTGCCTAAACGAAGAAGGACTAAGATGGCGATCTGTACTTTCAACGCACGAACGCTTGCATCCGAAGCTCACATCGAAGATCTGATGATGCAGGCCAGGAAGATCAAGTACGACGTCATCGGACTGACCGAGACGAGAAGGCACCGCCCGCTACACGCCGTTTTCGATACTGGAGAAGAACTGTTCCTTGGAACATGCGACAGCAGAGGCGTTGGCGGTGTGGGTGTCCTCGTCAACACGCACTTGGCCATAAACATCGATTCGTACGAAAGCCTTACGACCCGAATCGGACGTTTGAGGTTGAGAAGATGTGGTTCAACTCCTGCTTTGACAATCTTCGTCGCCTACGCACCAACATCGAGCTACGACGAGGAGGAACACGAAGCATTTTATATGGAATTGGAGAAGTTCTACAAGGAAGATCATACCTTCTTCAAGGTCATCGTCGGCGACTTCAACGCCTAAGATTGGCCCAAGAAGAACGGCTGAAGAACTTCACATCGGTACTCACGGAATGGAATGGAATGAGCAGGGTGAGAGACTGTCGGAGTTTATCATGTCGACCAACACCATCCATGGTAACTCACAGTTCCAAAAGCCCCCTCACCTTCGTTGGACTTGGGAGTCACCTGATGGACAGTTCCATAACGAGATAGACCACATCATCTTCAATCGAAGGTTTTGCCTGACCGACGTCGCTGTTGTTCCGAAGTTCTACACGGGATCGGACCATCGTCTCCTCCGCGCAAAGTTCCACTTTTCGATGCGTGTTGAGAGAGCCTCGAAGTTCAGGAAGCGAAGCCCCAGGACAGTCATCAACTGGGATCACTTCACTTCTCTTGTCAGCTTATGGGAGGATTCCGTTATCGAAAACATCGACGAGGAATATCATCGGCTCGTTGAACACCTTCACGATTGTGGCAAGGAAGGCAGAGAGTTTGAAAGTCACCAAGGGACGTCTGTCTCCGGAAACTCTCGAACTGATACGCCAGCGTGGAGCCGCACGAGCTGCAGGACTCACGTCCGAGCTTGCGAAGCTATGCAGAGAGGCGATAAAGGAAGATCTCAAGGAGCGAAGAGCAGCAGTATTAGCTGAAGCAGCAGAGGCTGGGAGGAGCATCCGCAATGCCCGCCGAAGCTTTGCCAGCTACAAGACCAAGATGACCTGCCTCCGACGTCCGGATGGAACAGTTACTGCATCCCGAAGGGCAATGGAGAAAGTCATCCACGACTTCTACTCGGATCTCTTCGATAGCCATGTCCATCTGCCCACTTATCAACTGCAACAGGATGGATACGTCGTCCCCTCAGTTCTCTCTTCCGAAGTCCGACACGCCATCAAGTCGGTGAAGAACCTAGCACAGGTCTTTTTCCCCCCCCCCCCCCTCGAATAAGGGCTCAAACTGGACACCTCTAAGAATGCACGCCAGTTATTACAAAATTTGCTCGCTTCTTTCACGGGGTTACCTGTTGACATGCCAAGATACCCCACCACGTGGAAACCAGCAGGACGTGTGCTGCCTTACCAAGAAAGCAAACCTCGCGGATTATACGAAGTTATACGAAAAGGATGCCGCAAATGAAATTGAAGTCCATGCCTACCTAGAACACTCTAGCTTTGGTCGCAAATTGATGCGGTTAGCCTGCAACCATCGACCCCCATTTCAACGCTTCCCACCTACCGCGAGAGAGGTCGTATCGGCATGCATTGATATAGAGATCAGCGTGCTCTCTCAAACGACGTGCTCTCTCGCGTATTTTGTCTTCTTTGATCGCCCTGTCTCGCCATCGTACCACATCCGACCTTATTGAAGGTTAAGGCCTTAATTTCAGCGTTCCCAAAGATTTCTCTTGCTTTCCTTTCCACTTTCAGGTCGTTCCGCAGCTAAGCTATCACTACGAAGCGCTCTTAGCACCAGTTTAATCCCGGGGTTTGCCTTTAATCAATTATAATAATTAGCTGAACTTCACAAAATGTACATTCTAAGCTGGAGAAGTGTTCCTCTTCCATGTTACAAGTATTTCAAAAGTGAGTTCAGATTCTGAAAGCACAAGGCTTCTAGTTTCTAGAGTGTGTTTCTTTTGAACACGTCTTACTTTGGGAAATGGAGTCGTCAGGATCTGTGGAGAGGGTTTAAATATACCTGCAAACTTTCAGCATTGAAGATTTGTTATCTTTTAAAAATCTGAGAAGCATTGTAAAGTAGAGTTTTCAGTCTTTCAAGGAATGCTGCACTTGTTTAGTATATTCTCTAATTCGCGAGAAATCTGCGTTGGCAGAAAGTTGAGAAAAATTCCGTGCTTTTCGGAAACGGAGTTTTCCTTTTCCCTTGCAACCACCTCTTCCAAAGCCCTCTTAAAACTTTTAGAATACATCACTTTGATGGAGGTAATTGGATAAATGCACTCGGCCTGCATCCATTTGATTCTGATGCGTGCCATAGATTTTGAAAGGTGCTACGCTACACGATATTTTAGTCATTAGTCCCTCATTTGGCCCCTTCGCTTCCCACCCTGTTCCAATGAACGACAGGACTATAGTGGTGGCAAGAAGGCTGTGAATCTTCGCGATTTGAACTTTCAAACCAACATCATGCTTTTCAACTAGGTTTTCAAAGCGCTGTACGTTATTTCTAAGCTGTATTCACAGACAGAATGTTCGGCATAGCTTAGCGTAAAGGCAAGCCCAGGGCGAGTAAGAGGAGTTCGAATCGACCAGGTCGTGTCAGCTCATGAAAAAATGAACAAGGACGGATATCAGAGCAAAGTCCAAACGTTCACTGCCCACATCCTCCTCATCATTTCGCGAGCGCATTTCCTCCTGTTCTGATCATCACGTGCCAAGCCAACCAGCTCTCCCTACTCAAATTTTCATCTCTGGCAGTTTTGAGACATTTTCTTTACTCCAAGTGAAACACGTGTAGAACTAGTAGCGGCAGTGAGGGAGAGGCTGCAGTACCTCCAGGTTCGTCGGAAATTCGCGCTTTCCATTCCCCTCACCTTTCATCGCAGCAAATACAACATGCTGTCGAAGATTTCCTCGACCGTTTTTAGCCGTGCTGGTGCCCTCTGCCAATATAGCCGACTGCAGGCCCCATGGCCTCCCTAAAACGCATACGCTTGCTCGAGATGCAAGTTAAACTAGCAAACGCAGGAAGTTAGTGCACAAAATAAACAACTAGGAAATATTCAAATGTATTAAGTGTATTGAGGTAGTTCGTAATACAATAAAATTATGAAGGTAATAAATTAACAAATTATTATGATATGGTACATATACTTGGCACTATTGCACTATTACAACCCCAGTGGGGGCCGAGATGGGTCAAAAAATAATTTTCGCTGAAACTTTGCTATGGGGGTTATCGAGGGTCCTGATCACGAATATGACATCCCTTTTTTGGCGCTGGCGCCAAATTGGCGCCATTTGGCGCCAGCTGGCGCCACTACTGATTATCACCAAATTCGCTGTAAACTTCTGAATAGGGGTTATTTGGGGCCCTGATCACGAATATGACACTCGTTTTTAACATTCGTGTTGTTTAACGCATATTTTCTGTTTTCTAAGCTTTCTCACCTAGCGCCTAGGACTAAGCTTAGGGGAGGGGAGTGAAACTCCGGAGTGGGTAAACCACGCACCGTGTGGCAAAGTTGGAGTGTGTTAGACCACAGGGGAGTGCCTACTCACTTTGGAGCCCTCCACTATTCAAAGGCTTAGTCCTGATTGCGATCTAATTAGTGCGAGGGCGCAGACGAGCAGGAAATAGGCGCCGAATAGCGCTAACAACAAAAACGAATGTCATCATATTCGTAATCAGGACCCCAAATAACCCCTATACAGAAGTTTACAGCGAATTTAGTGGGAATCAGTCGGTGATGCCAGTCTGGCGTCCAAATGGCGCCGAAATATTGCACAGGACCCCCCCTACGGGGGAGTGGTACGTAATAGTGCAATGTGCCATAACTGTTATACTACGAGACATTCTAACAATGCTATCAAAAATGAAATCAACTTATAACTCGTAAAACTTGTAGAGAGACGGATGCCTTTCCGAAGTCACAAAGGTTTGATTAAATCTCCGTGGTGCTAAGAAAGAACGGTTGGAGAGAGAACAGACGCCATCAGAAAACTCTTAGAAAACACGGATGGTGACAGAACACCCGGAGAAAGGATAGAACCACCTAGGACCATCGGAGAGACCAGGTCAGGACATAGAACCAGAGGGCTGAGTAATTAGTGGTGAAAGCACGTAGGGATTGATAACGTTCGGTGACAACACGTAAGGATTCAGAATAAACGGGGCCATAACGAGAGGAGAGAGCACATAGGGAGATAATAGATACGGGGAGAGGATGAACGGCATGCCAACGGCTGGCGACAGGACGTACGGTGATAAAACGGCCGGATTGAGTAACAGTGGAGCGAACAATGACGGCGACAACACCTGAAACGCAAACCAGTCCATCATGCAGATGAGTTTCTCACTACACAGGTTATAAGCCATCCATCAATTCACCATAACTTACACTGTCCAAGGACTGCCAGAGCGAATATCCGGCGTAAACATATAGGCGAAGACAGTCCGGCTGTTGAAACGACAAACCACTGTGACTTTGACGGTTTGACGAGTTTGTGCAATCAATTTTTTCACTATATATTCCTTCACAGTGCACCTAAAGGTCAAATGGTTCACAAACCGTTCCGTTCGCCGCTATCTCAGCAATGCGTAACCAGAGCGCTTGTTCGCGATCTGCTCGAGTTTGGTTGCTGTACTCTTTGATATCGAAGTCGATTTCACCAGCATGCTTAGCAAGGTCTGAAAATCAAACGGGGACTGCTCACTTCGAATTAGGTCTCCAAATGCCATCTAACAAAAAAGCATTTTATCTCCACTCAGACAAATACGAATAGGATGTTCTAGGGAGACGTTAGTTCTCGTCCTGAGCCAGCGCGATCATTGAAGCCTACGGTTAAGCTTGGGTTCAGGCTTAGGGTTGAAGGCAGCGATTGTGATAGGTTCAGGAAGGGTTTAACGGAGCTCAATAGCACGCAGTGGCGATGAGAAATCCGTCCGGGAAATGCGAAACGGGACCCCCTTTCTTGGCCGTACTTTTTCACTCATGAACAGGTAACAGCTCAGAAATCGGACGTATGAAACGAGTTCACGGCACTGCGTTTGGTGGCAGGATACCAAACCGCGGTCCACTACTAACAACGCAGCTCGTCC